TAGATATGTCTTGAATTGACGCTTGAATTTATTTATTTAAAAAATACTCTGAATGCTATACGAAAAATGGTTTAAGGGTTAGACCGCTGCTTCGTTAGTCGATCTATTTCATTCCATTTGACGATGAATAACCATTTAATCAGTTTAATGTAACAATGAGAGTGAGATTTATTATTCCTAGTAGAGACTCACGAGCGAGAGAGTAATTTCGCGCGGATACCAAACTCGGAGCGGAGCGATTTTCCCCGGGAAAAGGAGAGATCGCGATCAGCGTACTTAGCATAAAGGTGAAGCTATGTTAATGAGTCTCGCTCCGAGGCTCGCTCGCCGCTAACGAGTCAGACGACATATCCAAGTCAATTAGGAAAATCACCCGGCGAGAAAGTGCGCATCGGAGCGTATCGGTATTTCCCGATCGAAAGGGGGAAAAGAGAGAAAGAGTTTCCTCTCGATTTTCGCGGAGAATCGCGCGCCGCGGATGACAGGCAAGAGGAAGGTTTGACAGCTCGGCGATGCTGTCACGTCGGGGATGCTGCGACGGGGGTCGCGACAAGGGGGAGGTGGCGGGAATCCGTATCCCGCGACCCGGGGCGAAGCCGCGGCGACGACGGAGTCGTCGGGGCCGACGGCGACGATGCCGGGCGCGCGCTGTAACTCTAGCCACTCACCAGGTGCAGCACGGTGTTGACGACCTCCCGATTGGACACCTGTCCCACCTCGATCAGGCCGATCAGCACGGCGAACTTGAGGCTGTCGTTCATCGCCATCGCCACCACCTCCTCGGGCCGCTTGATGTCACTGAACGGCGGGCTCTTTAGGTCCGCCATCGCGACGGACGTTATCTTTTTTCTTTTTCTTTTTCAACGCGACCGCGAACCGCGTTCGCGCGTCCGCACTCGCGTGGTTACCGGGGGACTACGATCGGGTTCGCACGAGGTTACGGGTCCTATCAACGGGAGCGTTTCGCCGTCACATGATAATACAACACAAATTGATCTGCCATGTTGGAAAGTGGGCACTGTTGTGAGGACTGCCAGCCGCGCCGGCCCGAATGTTCCTAGGGCAGCGACCGACACGCCGACGCAACGCGCGCGCCGACCGCGACGGCGACGCCACGCCGCGGCGCTGCCGAACCGTCCGCCCGCGGCGTCGCCGTCGCGACGGCGCGCGCCGCGGCGCGTGTATGTCGGCGCGCTGCAGAATTTACGATGCTCGACGTTCTTCGCGCGAGAATGATCCTCGTCGACGTTAATTAAATCTCTTCAGAAACCTTAGCGTTAGCACTTAGCACGCGTACATTTAATTCTTTTAACTTGAAAAATTTTTTGAAATGTTTAATATTGCTGACAAAGGAAAAACAACATAATAAATAAAAAAAAGTAATCTCAAATTATGATGTAATTATGATGTAAATTATGGTGTAATATTTACATCACTTTGAAATCGTATGTATTAAATATTTCTCTAACTTTATAAATTTATCTTATGTTCTATTTCCACCAATGTAGATTAACTTTAATCTCAGTTAAACTTAGTTTTTATCTTTTTCTAGCTCTGAATTAGAAAAAGATAAAAGGTAAGTTAAATCGAGATTAATCTACATTATTGGTAGAAATAGAACATAAGATAAGCTTTTAAAATCAGAGAAGCATTTTAGTACCATATGGTGAAACTAGAACTATCGGAAATATATATAATCTACATTTATTACTACCAAAGAAATCTTAGAAAGAAAAAAAGAAAAAGAAAAAACAAATTAATGAAATTAATTATCTGTGTAATTTCAATAAAAGTCAAGAAAAATTGCAGAAATTTAGATGTTTTATATAAAAATGAGTAAAATTATTAAATTAATTATTAAAAAATGTCAAACGGATTATTTTGACTTGGTATAGTTCTAGTGTTAATCTACATCGATCGAAATGGATATTTAAAGATTTATTTATAACACAATAATTCTCGTAAATGTTAATTATAGTTCATTCTAAAGTTGAACCAATCGCCAATAGTTTGTACAATTTAAAAACTTCTATCTTACGAAATAAAGAATGGCGCAATTAGAGCGAATATGCATTTATATAGAATTGAAAAAGAATAATGCGGGAGGATCAGTCACGTTTTTAGGCTCTTTCGTTTCTCCTCCCATTCTCCGAATTCCACGCCTCGGATTCCGAGATTCGCCGCGAATTAATCAAGGGAATAATCCCCGCGTTGCCGCTCGTCGTCTTATCGCGGCGACGGAATTCGCGACGCGCAAACCGAGCGACCAACCAATTCGACCAATTTACGGGTTCGGGGGTGGCCTTGATTGGTCGGCAGACCATCAGTGCCGCGCCCTAGCGGCAGAATTTCGCGTCGAGACCGCCGCCGCGACGCCACTGACGCACTGACGCATGCATATACTCCGATACTCCGATTTGAGGGCCGCCGTGGGTCACGGCTTCCGTCAAGAGTGCTCGGCTCGTTCCCGTGGCGTTCGCAGCGGACTCGCAGGAAAAATGGCGACGGAGGAGCTTGACCG